AGCACTGTCTTATTCTGCAGACAAGAACACTGATAGCTGGAGAAGTAGACTCCTTTGTTGCCACACAGATAGTAAATTACGTGGCCGGTCTTGAATACAGGTCCATCGGTCTTAACAGTTGGGTTTCTCTCTAGGACACAATTTTGTATAAGTCTAATAAAAAATTAAGAAAACAGTAATGTTTTGCTTTTTGTTTTTAAATTTTATCTGAATTTTTTTCTCATTCTCTTTTAGATAATGAATATTTCTTTGTTGACCCTGATTTAAAATTAACCAAAGTGGCCCCGGAGGGATGGAAAGAAGAACCAAAGAAGAAAAGCAAAGCCGCGGTTCCCTTTACTATGTTTTTCCGGATTAAATTTTTTATGGATGATGTTAGTCTAATACAGTGAGTGCACAGAGTTTTTATTTTACATTCTGGGTGCTGCTGTTATTATTACTGTTTGATTCAAATGGACTTGGAACTTAATCCTCTTGGAAACTAAACATGCACGCCCATAATGAAAATCACCCCAGCTTCACCATAAAAAGCCTAGGTGGTCTGTATGTGTGTGTATGTGTTTATTGTTTCAGACATACCCTGACCTGTCACCAGTATTATCTTCAGTTGCGGAAAGATCTCCTAGAGGAGAGGATGCACTGTGACGATGAGACTTCCGTATTGCTTGCTTCCTTAGCTCTCCAGGCAGAGTATGGAGATTACCAACCAGAGGTAAGATTCATTTTTTTCTTTCCAGGCCCATATTTGTATTGATGTCCTAACCCGTGGTATAGTGGGCACGAAGCCTAGTTGAAGTGTTAGGTCTGGAGCTTTTTGAGGCTGGTTTGGTGCTTTGAAATGACCGATTTCTCCTTGTACATTGTTCTCATAGACCCATACAGCAGGACTTGATGTTGCTTCTATTTAAAATTATCCCATTTTGGAGTCTACATATGCCCAGCACCTACCCATCTTTTTTGCAAGTACTAGTAAAGCAGCGGTTCTCAACCTGTGGGTCGCGACCCCTTTGGAGGCAGAATGACTCTTTCACAGGTATCACCTAAGACCATCAGAAAACACATTTCTGATGGTTTTAGGAACCGAGACACAGCTCCTCTATCCTGTCTCGAGGCAGGGCTGCCCACATGCAGATACATCCACGTACGCATACCCAGCATGAAGACTGTTTCCCAATGCTGCACCATGCTTCAGGACAAAATTTCATTTATTTATAATTAGAAATAAATATTTCACAATATATAATTACATATTTTTTGTGGTTAATCACTATGCCTTAAGTATGTTCAATTTGTAACAATGAAAATACATCCTGCATATCAGATATTTACATTATAATTCATAACAATAGCAAAATTACAGTTATGAAGTTGCAACAAAAATAATTTATGGTTGGGGGTCACCACAACATGAGGAACTGTATGAGGGTTGCGGCATTAGGAAAGTTAAGAACTACTGTACTAAAGACTAAACACAGAGATGGATGACCAACCAAATGTGGATGAAAGGGATTTTCTCCCTTCCACACTTACCTGTGCTTTGGTAGACCAAGAGCCAGTAAAGCTCACTATTTGGAGAATATATGTGCAAGGCTCAATGTTTATGAAAACAAAGCGCTTTTAAAAAGATAGAAAACAAGGACAAGTGACCACAGCACTTGTGAGCAGCTTCATGACATTGGTCCTGACTCTAGTGAAGTGAGGACTGAGTGATTAAAACGATTAAATGCTCCGTTACTCCCCAAAAGGAGAATTGCATGCACTAGGACGAACTTCAGAAGAAAGGCCGGCCAGTCTACTTCCAAAAGAACACAGGAGCCCTGGTAATGTAGCAAGTTGCATGTTGGGCTGCTAACCACAAGGTCAGCAGTTTGAAACCACCAGCTGCTTCCTGGGGAAAAGATGAGGCTGTCTACTCCTGAGAAGAGTTAGTGTCAGATATTCACAGTTCTACCCTGTTCTATAGAGGTCACCATGAGTCACAATTGGCTCGATGGCAATGCGTTTGACATTTGGAAAAGACTACAGCCACTGAAAACCCCGTGGAGTACCATTCGACTTGAAAACGATCCTGCGGTGCTTACCTTGAAATAGATCACCAACATGATTTGGTGTTTCTTTTGTTTTACTTGGAGCTTGCAATGGAATGAGGTCCTTGAATGTCAGGCTCTCCACAAGCTTGCTATTCAATTTGGTCATTGGACTGTAATGAATAAAATAGAAACTAGCATTTCATCTAAAAACTCACTCCTCGGGGAGAGGAGGAAGAAGTTGAAATATCTCTTGGCCGAGATAAGAAAAGGAGGAGCAGGGTTCAACCCTATATTAAGCAAATAGGCTTACTTATGGAAACGCTCATTTTCTGTTCTAGGTTTATGGCGTGTCCTACTTTAGACTGGAGCACTATTTGCCTGCCAGAGTAATGGAGAAACTTGAGCTTTCCCACATTAAACAAGAGTTGCCCAAATTGCATGGTACCTATGTGGGAGCTTCGGAAAAAGAGACGGAGTTAGAATTTTTAAAGGTAAGCATGCAAGAGCACAAATGGTAGACCTTGGACTTTTTTCTATTCTTCAAAGTAGTAAAGAAGTGTTAGAGATATAGACATCTAAAAGATGCATATAGTTCACACTATGCATCATTTCATCTCACTTGTTGACTAAAGCCCTTTATCATCATGCACCACCTAACATTTGTGGCCCTCAACACTTGCAAAGCCTATTATATTAAAAACTCGGTACATACAGTGGTTCATAGTAACAAACAGGCACTACTTTGTAACACATCAAAACATTGTTATTATTATTGTAATATGTGAAAGATGTTCTGTATCTGAAGGGTTCCTTTAATTTTTTTCTAGAAAGATAGGCATTTGATTGATATTAAGTATGAACTGTACCTGTTTCTATTTACCTACAAAATCAACTTAAAGACAGATTTAGGAATGAAACTTGTTAATAATCCAGAGGCTATCTTTATACAATACAGGGTTCGTGCAACATCCAACTCACATGACATCCAATTTCACAGAATGTTATGTGAATAATTAATCTGTGTATGACTGTATTTTAATTGCCATTTTGTAAACAAGAGAACTGAAGCTCACAGAGGAAATATAACTTTCCTAAGTCATGTGGCTGAGATGTTTGAGAGTGGTGAGAGAAAGCTGTGATGAACCCTACCTACGTTTGCTTTCGTGGTATCTCCATCCTTTTGAAATGAGACCACATTCTAAAAGTTAAAACAATTCAATTTGGTAACGCTTAGATCTGACGGGCAAGTCCATACTGGTTACAGAATTGTTTGATTTTTTTTTCTTAAAAACTACTACCCCAGATTTACTTCTTGACATTTTATAATTTTAGCTCTTATGCAAGAGAACTTAAATTGCATATTGAAGAATGGAATTAAAGATCAAGAAATTTTTCCATCAACTTTTGTATTTCATTGTTGGGTCTGTGATCATGAAATCGATTCAATTTTTTGGCAAATGGATATTCAATTCTATCTGATCACTTGTTGAAGGCTATCATTTCTACATTAAGTGACCTGGGTAGATCTTCAATATCTTCATGTCCTTTTGTGCCAGTGTTTGACTCTCTGCTATGATATTGCTCCAACAGGTCTGCCAAAGACTGACAGAATATGGGGTTCATTTTCACCGGGTGCACCCAGAGAAAAAATCGCAAACAGGAATATTGCTTGGAGTCTGTTCTAAAGGTGTCCTCGTGTTTGAGGTTCACAATGGAATTCGCACTTTAGTCCTTCGCTTTCCTTGGAGGGAAACCAAGAAGATTTCTTTTTCTGTATGTCTGTTTAATCTTCCATTCGTATTTTATTTTGAAGCAAACATTGCCAGTTCTCAATGTAACAGATTGAATTTTCTGACATAAAATGTAGACCTTACCAGTCAGTAGGGCTACTATATCCTAATACTATGTAATAATTCTTTGTTAATTATAGAAATATTACTGAGGTTTTGTTTGTAGTTTTCTCAGTATGTAAATTTAGAAAAAGTGCTCTACATTCCTAGCTGGTTATATGCTCAATTAACTTCAATTAAATTGCAACCAGTTGGACTTAGCTGTTAAGTCAAAAGTATTTCATGGTAGTAGCTTCTCATATGGAGGAGCCCTCCTGCTGTACGTTAGGAAGATAAGCATCATAATCCCTAGCAGCCATGCCTTGCTCACCAGGCCAGTCCTCTCAGCAGTGCTGATTGAATTTCCATGACCCAGTGATTTAATGCATTTCATGAACGAGTTCCAGGACGTTCATAGGTTTCTGGTTTCAGTGTATATTCTCTCTGGAGGTAAAAGTAGAAAACTGAATAGTTTACAATCATGGTTATATAAACTCATGAACTATAATATTTTGATTTTGAACATAATTGCGATATCTAAACACAATTGGGATATCTAAACATTGAAAGGGCACCCTGGTGGGATAGTGGGTTACACACTGGGCTGTTTACCTACCAGCTGCTTTCCACGAGAAAAATGAGGCAATCGACTCCTGTGTAGATCTGTAGTCTTGGAACCCTGCGGGCCCAGTCTACTCTGTCCTGTAGGGTCTCTATGAGTCTATGAATTGACTCGATGGTGGTGTTTTAGAGAAACACGAAAACACCATTGACCTGCCCCAAAGAGGATCAACACAATATTCAAGTGCTTTTGCTTTTTTCCCCCCTAATGAATGTCAGATTTTCTTGCTTAAGGGAGTAGAACAAGTACTTCTTGATATTTCTTTTTTAAACAGTCATGTAAACTCGAAAGACCAATAATGTTAATTAAAAAAAACCTCATTTCCCTTGCTGGTGGCTGGAAAACAGTCTCATTTGGGCTACCATTTCTAAATCTGACAAATAATATTGACTTATATGTAGCATAGGATTATATTTTTATATTAGATGTGTATCAAGGATTACCCATGCCTAGTGATGTAAAATATAAAGAATGTCTTTACCTATTTATTACAGTTCACAGAATTTAGTTATGTAAATGTCTGATGAGAAACTTTCCAATGATTAATACCCATGGTTAATATTATAGAAAAAGAAAATCACATTGCAAAATACATCAGATGGAATAAAACACTCCTTCCAGACAGACAACAGTAAGGTATGCCAGTACCTGCTGCAACTCTGCTCCTCCCAGCATAAATTCCAGCTGCAGATGAGAGCAAGACAGAGCAGCCAAGATGCCCAAGACATTGGTAAGGAAATGCAGATGCCTTTAGGAAGCATGCATGACTTTTCCCCGTAAATTTTGAACGGACTGTCCTATTAGGTTGGGCAGTTATAAGGCACACAGGCATTAAAGGGTTCTGTCCACTTTATCAAGGTGACCCCAGTGAAGCCGAGATTTCAACTTTATATTCAGTTTGAAAACCACACCCAGAATATCGATGTCAAAGAGTACCTGTGGGAAATTCCATTTTGTGCTTAGCAGTAGTCTAGCCAAAAGGAATGCTATACAGATATAAGCCATGCTCTCCATCTTCAGTGCACTTGCACCTGCTTAAGGAAGGCAATGCCAACTTAAATGAAACTAATAAAAGGTAGTAGTGTAAGATTTTAATAATAGAAGATCATATCAGGTAGACTCTGAGTACTCTGTATTACAAGACGAGATAGATGAATGGCTGGAATGGTTGAGAAGTGGCATTTGAATTGGAATCTGAAGAACAAAGATAATTTCTTTAGGTTGAAAATGAATGGGCTGACTTTCCAGAGGAGTGAAAAAACATGGGGAACAAGACAGGGGTTGAGGTGGAGATACATACCGTAACAGTGTAGTGGATGATAGATTTGCCCCTTGTTAGTTTTATTTGGGTTCATCCATACTCTACGATTGAGATAATTAACCACAGTACCCAACATTAATGGCTGCGGTAGTGGTTTCAGTGTCTTCTCAGAAGACATCATCAGATGACACTAAACAATTTGGGGATGGGAGGGAACTCAGAACAGAAATATTTAAAGCTTACTCTGCATGACCCAGAGGTAAATTAAAGACATGCAAAATTCAGTTCTGTACAGTAACGTTTTAGAGCAGGGGTCCTCAAACTTTTTAAACGGGTCAGTTCACTGTCCCTCAGACCCGTTGGAGGGCCGGACTGTAGTTTAAAAAAAAACTATGAGCAAATTCCTATGCACACTGCACATATCTTATTTTGAAGTGAAAAACAAATGGGGCAAAAACACCTGGGGGGCCAGGTAAATGTCCTCAGCGGGCAATAGTTTGAGGATGCCTGTTTTAGAGAACTGAGTGAAACATTCCTAAGAGTTTGATTTTTAAAATAACAATTAGAATTAGTGGACTAGCTCTAATTACTTTGTGCAACACAACCGTAGTGAATTCCTGTCTCACAGCCTGAAATCTTACTGAAGATATGTTCCCACTAGGCTCAGAATGGGTGTGATGGTCAGAGAATCAGTAGATGTTTCTTAACCTTTGCAGAATCTGTATGAAGGTGTGAGGGTGGGGCTATATGCTTTCAAAAAGGAAGATATTAGGAACCCGCCTTAAACTTGGTGAAACAATCTTTGGGATGTGTGTCCCTGGAATCGGCATTTTAACAGGCTTTCCTTCTTAAGTAGGGATTTTTATGCCTTGCTAAAATATAACCATTGCTCTGATTGCCATATTTTTTTTCTTTCCCTGCTTTGTGCTGCTAAAAATGCATGTGTGCTATTCTTATTTTCAAAGTTTAGTGAAATGTCATACTTGTTAGAGCTAACAGCTTTCCTACCAAGATTAAAATCCTGTTTAATACACACCAAAATTACACAATGGAAGATTACATCATTACAGATGTGGTAGAGTAAAAACAGTGAGAATGCAAAAGTATGAAGTCCCCCTTTCCATCTTCACATTTGTTAAACCCAAGTATACTATAATGTGTAATAGTTAAAGAGCATAAGCTTTAGAACCAGATCACCAGGAGTTAAAACCTGGCGCTATTACCTACACACATTGAAACTTTCGGCAAGTTACTTAAACTCTCTGGCTTGGTTTTCCCCTCTGTAAAAATGATCATCACAATTGTTACGCCCACATTGTAATGTTGTTAAAAGGAGTGAATTCATACATGTAAAGCCCTTAGAAAAACTGCCTGGCACAGTAAGTTTTCAGTAAATAGTCATCATTATTACCATTACCATCATCACCAATGTCATTGCTACTTCTATTACCACCACCGCGCCTACTGAGTGACCTTGAGGAAGTAACTGACTATATTTGGAGTTTCCATCTCTTTATCTATGAAACGGGATACTCTACTTTCACAAGTTTGTCTCTAGGATCCCAACAGCTAGATATCCTTGAATTCATAAGTGAAGGCATCTTAAATTTTTTAGCAAAATATTACTTACATCCTTCACAGATTTCTTAAAACCTTTAAGGGAATTATTTTCTGCTTAGAATCAGATTAGATGTAAATGCTTGCCTTTTTTAGCTAGGTACTAAATACCAAGCTATTTCTTATCAAAATGGTTTAGACTCATGGTGAAGCTATGTGTTAGACAGCAGAACTGTATTCCACTGGGCAATTCTCATGGTTGTAATCTTTCAGAAGCAGATTTCCAGCCCTTTTCTACAAGAACCCTCCAAGGGGTGGGTTTGAACTGCCCACCTTTTGGCTAATAGTAGAATACTTCACAACTATTTGAGCCACCAAGGGACTTCAACTATACACTAGTTGTCTTCTGTAGCAGGTCAACGGGTAGTATAGTTGGGCAGTATTCCACTATAGCCTATACAAATGAAAATAACCGATGTCTCCTGTAGAAGATCAATGGGATGGAAAATGTCTACAACTACTTTAGACTTACAGACTATTGGCTACTCGGTGAATTCAGTGGCCATTAAGTCCAAACTTTTCCTGGTAAGGAACTAGGATCCAAGAAGATAAAATAAGAGGTTTTTTCCGGAGCCTCATAGCTATTTGAAGAGAAGAAACAGATAGGGTAGTATAGATAGCCAGCTTGGTGTGGAACTAGCAATAGCAAGCCTTTGGCTTGAAATTTGGAGCATTGACTTTAGAACATAAGCAGATTCTGATGTCCTTTCTCATACTGACAGCCCATGTTGGAGTCGGTTCCAGATGAAAGGCAATAAATGGGGTAGACCAGATAAGTGGGCAGTTCATGAGCCCATCAGGTGGATATGCAGTATGTTAAGCCCTACTCAAGAACAGGCTATTCCTGGATGTGAATAGCATAATCCCTGGTATGTTCACAAAACAGAGGTGGCCTAAATTAAACTGCCTGTCACTTTTCTACTTAAAATGTGTTCTGCATTTTCCATAAGGGTGAAGAAGTCTTTTGGATATAAAGGAATTTTCCTAGTAGTGATTTAATCTCTGTGAGACCCAAGACTCGATTTTGTTTCTTAGATTAAAGGCTACTCCCCAAATGAAGGAAAATAGAAATCTTGCCATCTGCTCTAATAAAAACTCCATCTTTTAAGTTAAATTTGATCTTGGGAATTTTAAAGCCAGGCGGACTCACCTGCTGACTCTATGCTTTAACTTGGTGTGCTTCACAGAACGGATATTGATGGTTTGTTTCCCTAGTGACTAGGAGACATGATTATTAATTGGAATTTCTGGTGTGTGAACATTAACAATTTTCAATGTCTTCCTACTTGCTTATGCCCGAGATGAATTATACCCAGACACATACCCTTCCTGCTTGCTTATGCCTGTGAAGAAATACCAGTTAGTACTACTCCTATGAATTAGACCAGGGGGTCAGACTCACTGAAAACACGGGCCGTTTGGGGCAACAGGCAAGATTCACACAGGCCATAGCACATTTACAAATTTTGCTAAATTTATATTTTGAAGGGACGATTCAGAAATGTGGATAGGATAATTAAAACACTATAAAATTGGTTTTGTATAAACATTTATTATAGTTAATGTATTTAACTAAAATTATTATTTTTTACCCAAAACTTGCCAGTGCTTTCCTCTTACTAATTTTCGTCTACCTCTTATGTTGTGACCAGAAAATATAACAAAGTAATAATTATAAAACATAAAATGTTGGACAGCTGACAGACATGATACACAATTGTAATGGCTTCCCTCTAAAAATGTTAACTAGCGCTGCCACTGGGTATGATTCATAGCACAACCAGGTGCTCTTTTTAACCTTTTCACTATTGAGATCTGTTCAAATGATGTGACACTGAGAGTGGCAGACATATTGCTTACAAACATCGCCGGAACTGAGTCAGCACATTTAGATAGGTCCACAGGCCCCCAGGAAAGGGACTGGGGCACGTGTATACTCATCTTCAGTAGTTAAAGGTTAACGAGGGAATTGTGTGTATGGTATTGCCTCCATCTCCCCTACGCACTATTTTTTTCATAACAATTTTTTTCATTTTATTTCAGAGCATCACGGGCCACAAAATATTACCTCGGGTTGCATGCAGCCCGCAGTCTTGATACCCCTGAATTAGACGATAGTTGAAACAGAATCTAACATTCTAAGTCAGTGATCATTTAACATCATCTTTTCAAAAGGAAGTGTGTCCAGATATTTTACATAGTGGCCAAGCTGTATTCCATGTAGAACATGCTATTTTTAGGGGACCAAAGAGGGTACATTGGAATGTGGATTGCTAATGCCAGAACAACTAAATATTCTAAAACATTGGTTCTAGTCCTTTATTTACATGAAAGAATTGTGGTGTTCTAAAATTCTCTGATGTAGTGGTCCCCGAGGCTACTGCATCTCAGTGAAACCATGGTGAAGGTGGGATTGGCACAGTAGTTTCAAATAACTAAAGAAATCACTTGCTTAAGCTTTTACTTATTTTTATTATCTGCAGCAGCTTTATTGCAATATAATCATGCACTGTATTATTTACCCATTTAAAGTGTATAAAAATGCTTTTTAGTATATTCAATGCATCCATCACCACCTTATATCTGAAACTGTCCATAATATGATAATCAAAACGTTTTCTCTGGTCAAAACTCTCCTCTGAACACGTCTTTTTTTGGCATGCCCTCACCATAATTGGCCCGCTCAGGTTTCTTCTCTGCCTCTCCCCATCCTTGCTCTGCTAACATTGTAGAGTAGAGACTGGAGTAGGGTTGAAAATTGCTCTGCCAAACGCCTTTCTCAATTCTAACTGAGACCCATTGTTGGGAACGTAGGGTTAATAAGCCTGAACCTCCAACCACTATTACATCCAAGAGACTCGTTAAAAGAAGTAGGAAAGCAGGCATTGCCCCTGAGAAAATGACAAGGATGGTGAGATGGTATGAGCCCCTCGATCTTCAAACCGCCTTTGTAAAATCTTTGATTGCCACACATTGGAAGCTACCTACTTGGACTGACAATGAGAGTGATTGAAAAACTGCATGCTGTATTAACTTTAGTAAAATAACTCTTCTTATAAAGGTACTGCAGTGTTTCCTTCGTGTAAAGCAATCCTATTTCCTTGTAGAGAGAGCTTCGTTTAGGAGCCTGAATCTCCAAGCAGAGTCCGTTAGAGGATTTAACATGGGACGAGCAATCAGCACTGGCAGTCTGGCCAGCAGCACACTGAACAAACTGGCCGTTCGACCTCTGTCAGCTCAAGCTGAGATTCTGAAGAGGCTGTCCTGCTCAGAGCTGTCGCTTTACCAGCCATCCCAAAACCATTCCAAAGAGAAGAGTGGCAGAGCTTCCTGGGAGGAAAAGCCTAGAGGGATGAGTAAATCATACCACGATCTCAGTCAGGCCTCTCTCTGTCCTCATCGGAAAAATGCCATGGTCACTGTGGAATCCCCAACACACACCATTGAGGAGCTGGTGGGAAAGCCCTTTCACCAGATGGCGAGATCTGACACAGATTCTGTGACAGGATTCACAAAGCTTAATAAGTAAGAACATTATTAAATAATCCAAACTACATATCTTTGTAAATTCTACATTTCATACATCTGTTGTTGTTTTGACATTTTATTATTTTCACCATATATATATATATATGTATATATATATTTTTTTTTTTTAACATTGACACTTCCCCCTCCTACCTTCCTTTTTCCTCTGTAGTTCAAAGTCTTTGGCAAGTTTAAATAGAAGCCCCGAAAGGAGGAAACAGGAATCAGAGTCATCCATTGAAGACACTGGTCAAGTATATGGCATAGGTCAGCATAAACAAGCTTACCTTCTTTCTCCCATACCTTGTGTGCTTACACAGAAAAGTAGATGAGACCATGTTAATTACTAAATTACCTAAAAATAACTTAAAAGGAGGTTCCTGATAACTAGAATAATAGTGTAGGAGAATAAACTTTTTGAAAAATATGCTCACCTGTAATGGGATCTCAAAGATTCAGAGCCATTTTTACTAGGAATGCCTTGGTCTACCTGGGAATCCATCACATATCAGACGTAGAAGAGACAAAGCATATTAGTGCTTCAAAACAAAGAAAAATCAGCATAAGATTCACCCATAAACGGAATTTACTTTCTGCTTTTGATTTTTCATTAAGTTTAATTGAGCATGACCTTGTAAAACCCATCTGTTTGATCATTTCATTGTTGTCAAAGACAATAGATTTGTATTTAAACTTACTCTGCGAAACAGAGTTACTGCATTTAACTTGGACTTTAAAAAATAGTTTCTATGCTCATTCTGGAAAGTATTCTTTTTCTTAGCGTAAATAAAAGGAATGTTATTGCTGCCTTAATGTTGTACACATTCGTATTGATTTATCAGAAGAAATGAATTATCTAGTGTCTGACCATTTTGTAAAATGTCTAATAATGTAATTTATGTCACAGGAATGACTATGCATAGTTCTGGAAATCCTTCATCCCAAGTACCCTTTAAAGAAAATGGTAGGTTTACAAAAATGTTTTCCCCTCATTTCCATCATATATTTTCTCTTTTCTTAGATTTTGAGAGATAGTCTTAGACCTAATGTTGAAGGCTTCGCCTCTAAGCTAAGACGTTGGGGGCTTTGGTGGAGAGTTGTGTTTCTCAGCAGCGGGGGATGAGGAGGTGTCACTTTTCATTTAGGCACTCTGATGAGTTAGAGAAATGTCGGGTCAGTGACGCAGACTTAATTGGAAAGCTAACAGGGGAGTTCAAGTGAGAGATACTTTTGATCAAATAGGGTTTTAAGTGGAGAGTGTATTTTTAAGTGATGCTTGAGCTGACCCGTGAAATAGAAGGAAGATTTAGTCAAGTCTAATGGGGGCGTGGAGCGGGTGAACAGTACCAGTCAAAGGCACAGCGTAATCAGAGGCACAAGGACAGATAACAGATTCAAGGAGCTGTAAGAGTCTTAATCTGGGGGCATTTCAGGAAAGGAAAGGATAAAGAGCTAAATCGAGAACCGATTAGTGAAGAACTCTTGAGTCGTATTCTAAGCATTATAGGAAGAATTTAAAGAATAATTGTACAAAGAAGTTGAGAAATTTTCAGTGCATTGAAAGCCAGTGGACTCAAATGTACCAGTAATTTATGTTACAAAATACTTCAAGTACATTATTTTGTTTGATCTTTCAAATTACATTCGGAGGTAGACAAGAATGCTTCTGTGCTATGTATATACTTCTTCTGCATGCACTTCAGAAAACATTTACCTCTAGATTCTTAAAATGGAAAAGAACCAGAGGAGTTATAAAAAATAAGCATGTATGCTAATCAGAATGACCAATATAGTTGAAATCAGTGAAGCTTTAAAGTTTAGTTCTGCTTTTTCTGTAGGTCGAAGCAAAATGGAAGGCCTGAGAGTAGGTTGCACTACCTGAAACTCCCGTTTGTGTAGCTCAGGAACTGTCCAGTACTGCAGGGTGGTTTTGTATATATCCTCATTCTCAAGCAGAAATACACAGACTGCGTCTTCAGGAAAGGAAGATTTCTCTTGGCAGTAGCCTTGTTTCTGAAAGAAAACAATACTAGTGTTTTCTTAAAACATACAGCAAATGAAGGAGTGATTCTCATTTCTTTTTTTTAATGTGTCTATTTTTCAGTTTATTAATTCTCTCTCACCCCACCCCCAAGTGGGGCCATAGCTCATTACAGAAAAAGTCTGATGACCATACTTATGTGAACTGAATTTAGACTACTTGCATACCTAGAATAGCCTACTTATAAATATATCCCTAATGGTACTAATGATTGGCTTATATTCATTGAATCCTTAGTAAATGCAAAGCACTATTCTAAGCGTGTTACATTTATTTCACATGGAATCCCTACAAGAGCTATATGAAGTATGTGCTGTGGTTATTTCCTCTTTACAGAGGAATCAAAGCTTAGTTTGAGTTATGAAGGAGGTCAGAGATGTGACAGGCAGGAGCTGTGATGGGCAGGCATGCACTGGGTCCAGATCTCACACTCTTCACTCTTTAGACTGCCTCCGGAAGCATGCTCCCAATATCAAAAGCCCTGGACGCCGAGCCCATTCTAACTCATAGCAACTTTGTAAGAAGAATTAAACTGCCCCACAGGGCTTTCAAGGCTGTGAGTCTTCTTGGGGTTTACGCAGAAGGAACACCCCATCTTTCTTCCGCAGAATGGATGGTGTGTCTGCATGGCCAGCCTCTGGTCAGCGACCATGAGGGGAACCTCCCAAGGGTGGTAATACCTGATTATGTCCTCCAGCTAAACCTTTGAAAGAAGCTGGGTAATGATCTTTTCAAGGATGAGAACCTGAGATATGTTTTCATCTAAGTTCTGATAGGAAAAAATTATGAATTTAAATCAGATATCAATTGAGTATATGCTGGGGTACTGTTTCAGTTAAAACCACTAAAGCCATATTTCCCCTCTTGCCCCCTGCAGAGAAAAGGCCAATCTACTTTGGTCGTTGTTGTTGTTATTTATGTATTTATATGTTGCTGAATAACTGCAACTATAGGATTTTGAGGTAGAATGGCAAAAATGCCTTTTATCAGTTTAGTAAAAAAAAAAATAGAAAATACTCTTTTTTTATCATTTTATTGGGGGCTCTTGCAACTCATATCACATCACAATCAATACATCCATCCATTGTGTCAAGTACATTTGTACATTTGTTGCCATCAGCATTCTCAAAATATTTTCTTTCTACTTGAGCCCTTGGTATCAGCTCCTCATTGTTCCCCTCCCTTCTTCACCCTCCCT